CAGGGCCGACGGCAGAGTTCAAGTCTAGGAGCCGGCGGCTTGAGCATCACACCGGGCATGTGTGCGTGTGCGCTCAAAATGCCAAGAGGCGAGTGGAGGGAAAGGGATCGCTGTGTGTCCATCCTCCCTGGGGAGTGATTTCTCACTTTTTCTTTCTCTGGTGAACACACACACCCTATATCAAATGGGGAAAAAAAAAAGGAAGAAGAAAAAGAAGCACAGTCTTCAAAGTCAGGCACCCCTAGGTCAAAATCCTGTCTCCATCATTTCCCAGCTGTGTGACCTTAAGCAAGTGACTGTCCTTCTCTGGTCTTCAATCTCATCTGCAAAACAGGGCAAGGGATCCCATGTCATGAGCCCCAGGAGGAGGTGGAGAAAGGGCACGTGCCCAGGGCAGACGCAGCCTGACGCAGACGTCGTGGGCGTGGCTACCCGGGCTTCCTTCCCCAGTCTTCCTCTCGGATCTCACGTGTTCTGCCTTGTCAGAGAAGGCCGCTTTGCCCCACCCCTCCATGCCGCTCGCTCTTCTCGGTTCCGTCCCTGGGGCTGGCTCCAAGAATCCACGCTGCGGACTGACGCTGCTCTACCACGTGTAGAGTATGGGTTTGGGGTGACTCTGGGTGGGGACTCTGCTCTGTGTCCTGGCAAAGCACTGCCTCACCTACCCAGGTCCTTCACCCCAGATCCGGTGACGGAGCACCAGATCTGGATGAAGGAGGCCAGGGCCTCCCCACCTGCTGATCAGCCGTCTTCCTCCAAGGCAGCCGAGTCTCCTGACCCTCCCCTGGTGAGCGCTCCTTTAAATAGAGAGCACACGTAATAGGGACCAGCAGTGAGGGTAATGGCTATGTCGCTGGACTCCTATGTCGTCCACCGCGGTTCGAGTCCCGGACCTGGTGGCTTAAAACTCACGCTCGACGCATGTGCATGCGTGCCCAAGATCCCGAGAGGAGAATGGAAAGAAGAGTTCCGGCGTGGCCATCCCCCTGGGGGGTGATTTCTCGCTTTCTGTCTCTCTGTCTGCCTCTGTCTTTCTGGCGAGTGCACGCACCCTGTAGCAAAAAAAAAAAAAAAAAAAAAAAAAAAAACCTCTCAAAAAAAAAAGAGAAAAACAGCAGTTCTATTAATGGCTATGTTGCTGGACTCCCACGTAGTCGACCGCAGTTCGTGTCCCGGACCCGGTGGCTTTAAACTCACGTCGGGCGCGTGTGTGTGATGCCGAGAGGAGAATGGAGAAGAAGGGATTGCGGCGTGACCATCCCCCCTGGGGGGTGATTTCTCGCTTTCTGTCTCTCTGTCTCTCTCTGTCTGTCTGGCGCGCGCACATGCTCTATAGCGAAAACCTCTCCAAAAAAAGAGAAAAGGAAAAAGAGCACAGGTAATTACCGTAGCAGGCCCCGCGAGGTTACACTAGAACAGGTCCAAAATGCAGGTCAGTACAAAGAAGAAAAATACAATCATCCATGATCCCACCACCCAGCGAGGACCCACGGCCCACCACAGGCAGGTGTGTGAGCCCACGGAAATATCTACCAAGGGGCTTCAAAACCTCGATGGACAAATGGAATTAAAGTAGGAGTTTATTTTGGTGTTAAAAAACAAAACAAAACAAAACTGTGAAACCCATGCACAGTCGTTTCATAATAATCATTTTCCAGAGGTCTTGAACACCTCTGCTGGTGTGGGTGTGGGTGCACGCGCATCGCACACCAGACAGATGAATA